CTGCTATGCTTCTTGTACGGCTGAAATGGTATATTTAAAGCAGTGGCACTTGATAGTTCATGTCTACTGCTCCACTGATATTGATACTCTTGTGTGTTACCTTGTCTAATTGGTTGTTTTTATGTGTCCATCCTTCAGGACCTTGCTACATATCAACTTCTTGGCCCCCTTAATCATGGTACTGCTATGGGTGAAGCCCATAACAAAGGATTACATAATGAATCCCACTTTTGGGAAAGATAGTGTGCCTTTGTGAGTATTTCGTTTTACAATTAAGCAACGTTATATTTTGCATTATTACTATGTTGAATTGTTTTTAAACTTGTTCATTAAGGCCCTCTGTGCACTTGAGGAAGCTTACTTTAGTCAGCATGAAAACAAAATTGGCCCTGATTACTTTAATACACGATCCTGGTCTTATTGTACATGATTCATCAGTACACAGTATTCAAATGAAAGTTCATGTCTTTGTAATCTTTCATTAAAATCATTTATAGTTAAAGCATTATTTATAATAATTTGTTCTGCCTCTGAAATGGCCTTGTTTGACGCTGCAAAGGGTGAAAATAATGTTAACAAATAGCTTAACACACTTATTGGTGGAGAATTCATTTAATTTCAAACCCTTTCCAATAGTTAACACAGTAATGTAATGGTTGTTAATGGTTGTGGAATAATGTAAAGATGAAAGATTTGGGAGAGGGTGAAAAGTTGATAAGCTCTAGAGGGTAAACTTCCACGTCTTGGTCAGAAATTCTCCTCAGAGGTTGGTGCTGATGATATTTCAGGAGGGAAGTAATCATCGGGCAATCTACAAACTACAAACTCTCATTTGGGTTCCATTCTTGTGTGAAATGCCCACCTTTCTCAATCCAATTTATCAAGTCCCGCCCTATATTTGTTTTACTCATAAATGCATCACATTGAGCTGGTAAAATAGGTTGTGATTGCCATTTTCTGTTGACTTAAAGTGATGTTTTTTTTAGTGAGAACTTTGTTCATTCTCAAGTCACAACCTAAGTTTTGGACTGATTTGGTGCGTCACTCCTCCTCTGCTTTCAGAATGTCTGAGAAGACATACGACACGTTGCGACTGTGGGTGATCCTGCTTCTGTGTGTGCTGAGACTAGCCATGATGCGGCATCATCTCCAGGCCTACCTCAACCTGGCCCAGAAGGGCGTCTTGCAGATGAAGAAGGAAGCGGGACGCATTAGTACAGTGGATCTCCAAAAGATGGTGTGTAAACTTTAGAAAAGTGTTCAAACTTTTTGCTCTTACAGATAAACAGAGTGTCATCACATTAGTATGCAATGAAGTTATTGCAAAGCCATCTTATTTTGCCCGATATCCCATCTTTAGTAGGTTGTTCTTGTGATGTTTGATCTCTACTGGTTAATAAATGCACTCAGGGCATCTACTCTTGGGGCCTGCATTACAGTGTCGACATTTCTCAAAGGTGGAAATATGTCGGTATGAAAAAGGACTGCGTGGCATTGTTGCCCTCAAAGCTCTAAAATGAGGAGGCTATTTGAGTTTAGTGGAGCGCAAGGATCAAAACCCACAGCACTCCACAGCTGGAGCTGAGGAAAAGAGCCCGTTTGATGTTCCAAGCCATAAGTGAGACTCGCAAATGACTGTAGAGTCGCAGGGGTGTCTGGTCTTACATCTGCTCCTGAATCATATGCTTGCAGCCTCCCTCTGTACTTAAGCTCCCAGTGATGGTTTCAGCGAGTCTGTTTGATGAGCTCCTCTCCTGCCAAGCTGCTTGTTTTGAACGAAATTTGCCTAAATGTTTTAACTGCAAATTTGTTTTTCCTCACACAGGTCGCCCGAGTCTTTTACTACCTGTGTGTAATAGCTCTTCAGTACATCGCACCTCTGGTGATGCTGTTGCACACTACTTTCCTGCTAAAGACATTAGGTGAGTGCATTAAGGTTCTTCTCGACAACGTTCTCAATTGCCCCGGTAGGGTTTCTTGAATTTTTCAGACTCTTGTTTTAACCCCCAGGTGGATACTCGTGGGTGATTTACCCCGAAGAGAATTTGCCGTGTCTGTCAAATGAGGACTCGAGCCCCACTGAGGTGGGGCAAGACGAGGTGCAGGCCTCTCAAACAGTGGCCCAGCTATCGGTTGCTCTTGGGGGGCTGAGGACTGTTTTCTCCCCCTTGCTTTTTCGAGGGCTCCTGTCCTTCTTCACTTGGTGGATTGCCGCATGCCTGTTCTCCACCTCTCTCTTCGGCCTCTTCTACCACCAGTATCTGATGGCTGCATAGCATCGGGAAGGGTTTGTTCGACTGAACTGTGCAACACGAGGCCCTGAAACATTCCCCTTTTTCTGCAACCATATCAGCTGGGTTCTTCTCTGAGCGGCTTCCTCTGTGGACATTTTAACCTAACCGATACATAAACAGCAACAGTAACAATTCAGTCATTGTAACATTCATGAGCATCAACGGACGGAGGATGGCGTCTGAAGGAGACCTCAAAATAATGCTGATTTTAAAGGGGATGGCGTCTTTGAACCACCAGAAGGTTGAAAGCGAGGGATCACTCATGGTCGTTGACATTCTGTATTATAATTTTTTTTTTTTAGATTTTAAAATTATGCTAGACGATTTTCATAAGAATTACTGTTTTTAATAGTGTTTTAAAGTTGTTTCACTTCTCCAAAGTAGAAACTGGCTTCTGCTTTAGGGGAGGTTTTCATTTCTGATCCGTGAAGAGGAAACAGTGTTTTAGTCAAGCTTGGAGAGTGTAATGAGGGGAATTGATCAAGGAGAACAGTGTGTGTTAAAGGTATATTTATTTGTCCATTTCAGAGGGACTGAAGTCAGCCTTCTCACAAGGAGCGTTTCGTTTGACTGTAGAAGACTGAGAGATAATTTAAGTGTGCGTGCGCGTGTGAGAGTGACGGTTCGTGTGTTAATATCAGTGCCTGCAGGCTCCCAGTGACCCCTGCTGCTGGTGGGTAAATCTAAAAAAGGGCATTTTGATCAAGTGTAAAAGCTAACTCAAAAAAACTGTCTAAAGCAGTGGCCTCCGCTCTTCTGATACTTTAACCGGTCGGATGTTTCACTTTGAATTTGGGTCCAGTGACATCAAACGCATCCTGTAAGCGTGCTCCGTGTTTCTGTATGGAGCCTATTGATTTTCTGTAATGCATCAAATAACAGGATTGGATTTGTTTCATGTGAAGGTGCCAAGTATGCTTGTATTCCCCTGTGAGTGTGTACAGTACTTCCTGTTGGAGATCGGGAGCACACATGCTGAGGTACGAGCCAAAGCAGAACATGCAGCTTGATCACAAAGAAACGTCTGCGAGGTCCACTTTAATATTGTGAGTTTTTTGGCACTACAGTTACACAAACTACACAGGCATATCTGAAGTATTTTTTTGTTTGTCTTTTTTTAGTGTTAACCTACTGTAAAAGTCTTATTCTCTCTTTCCATTTTGAGTTTTTGGAAGGTATGCATACAGTGAATGTATTGCTGTATTTTTTCTTTTATGGTAGAACAAATCTACTACCCTTGGGGCTCCTAATAAATAGCCACATATGACATGATCTATACTTTTAACAAATATCAGTTAAATTGATATTATAATAAAGGTGTTGTGGACTTCCAGGGATATTTATATCGCAAAGGAGCGTCCACTATTATCAAAAGCACACTATACAATCAATACTTGTTAACGATGTGGCAGTTATATGCTGAATTCAATTTTTTTTCCCTCTTTTGTTGATTATCAAGCTGTGAAGATTGATGGACGCAAGAAAAGAGCCTGATGTTCCAAGCCATAAGTGAGACTCGCAAATGACTGTAGAGTCGCAGGGGTGTCTGGTCTTACATCTGCTCCTGAATCATATGCTTGCAGCCTCCCTCTGTACTTAAGCTCCCAGTGATGGTTTCAGCGAGTCTGTTTGATGAGCTCCTCTCCTGCCAAGCTGCTTGTTTTGAACGAAATTTGCCTAAATGTTTTAACTGCAAATTTGTTTTTCCTCACACAGGTCGCCCGAGTCTTTTACTACCTGTGTGTAATAGCTCTTCAGTACATCGCACCTCTGGTGATGCTGTTGCACACTACTTTCCTGCTAAAGACATTAGGTGAGTGCATTAAGGTTCTTCTTGACATGTTCTCAATTGCCCCAGTAGGGTTTCTTGAATTTTTCAGACTCTTGTTTTAACCCCCAGGTGGATACTCGTGGGTGATTTACCCCGAAGAGAATTTGCCGTGTCTGTCAAATGAGGACTCGAGCCCCACTGAGGTGGGGCAAGACGAGGTGCAGGCCGTGCAGGCCTTGGCCCAGCTATCGGTTGCTCTTGGGGGGCTGAGGACTGTTTTCTCCCCCTTGCTTTTTCTGCTTTTTCGGTCCTTCTTCACTTGGTGGATTGCCGCATGCCTGTTCTCCACCTCTCTTTTCGGCCTCTTCTACCACCAGTATCTGATGGCTGCATAGCATCGGGAAGGGTTTGTTCGACTGAACTGTGCAACACGAGGCCCTGAAACATTCCCCTTTTTCTGCAACCATATCAGCTGGGTTCTTCTCTGAGCGGCTTCCTCTGTGGACATTTTAACCTAACCGATACATAAACAGCAACAGTAACAATTCAGTCATTGTAACATTCATGAGCATCAACGGACGGAGGATGGCGTCTGAAGGAGACCTCAAAATAATGCTGATTTTAAAGGGGATGGCGTCTTTGAACCACCAGAAGGTTGAAAGCGAGGGATCACTCATGGTCGTTGACATTCTGTATTATAATTTTTTTTTTTTAGATTTTAAAATTATGCTAGACGATTTTCATAAGAATTACTGTTTTTAATAGTGTTTTAAAGTTGTTTCACTTCTCCAAAGTAGAAACTGGCTTCTGCTTTAGGGGAGGTTTTCATTTTTTTTTTTTTTTTTTTTTTTTTAAGTGAGACCTTTTTAATTCTCCTCAAGTCACAACTTGGGTTTGGGCTGATTTGGCATGTCACCTGTTCATCTGTTTTCAGGATGTCTGAGAAGACATACGACACATTGCGTCTGTGGGTGATCCTGCTTCTGTGTGTGCTGAGACTAGCCATGATGCGGCATCATCTCCAGGCCTACCTTAACCTGGCCCAGAAGGGCGTCTTGCAGATGAAGAAGGAAGCGGGACGCATTAGTACAGTGGACCTCCAAAAGATGGTGCGTAGACTTTTATCACTTTTTTTTGTTCTTACAGATGTGTCATCACATTAATATGCAAGTTATTGCGATGCAAAGCCATCTTCTTATTGCCTGATATCCCATCTATCCCAAGTGTCCCATCTTTATAGGTTGTTCTTGTGATGTTTGATCTGATACTGGTTAATAAATGCACTCAGGGACCCTCTTGTGGCGTCTACTCTTGGGGCCTGCATTACAGTGTCGACATTTCTCAAAGGTGGAAATATGTCGGTATGAAAAAGGACTGCGTGGCATTGTTGCCCTCAAAGCTCTAAAATGAGGAGGCTATTTGAGTTTAGTGGAGCGCAAGGATCAAAACCCACAGCACTCCACAGCTGGAGCTGAGGAAAAGAGCCCGTTTGATGTTCCAAGCCATAAGTGAGACTCGCAAATGACTGTAGAGTCGCAGGGGTGTCTGGTCTTACATCTGCTCCTGAATCATATGCTTGCAGCCTCCCTCTGTACTTAAGCTCCCAGTGATGGTTTCAGCGAGTCTGTTTGATGAGCTCCTCTCCTGCCAAGCTGCTTGTTTTGAACGAAATTTGCCTAAATGTTTTAACTGCAAATTTGTTTTTCCTCACACAGGTCGCCCGAGTCTTTTACTACCTGTGTGTAATAGCTCTTCAGTACATCGCACCTCTGGTGATGCTGTTGCACACTACTTTCCTGCTAAAGACATTAGGTGAGTGCATTAAGGTTCTTCTTGACATGTTCTCAATTGCCCCAGTAGGGTTTCTTGAATTTTTCAGACTCTTGTTTTAACCCCCAGGTGGATACTCGTGGGTGATTTACCCCGAAGAGAATTTGCCGTGTCTGTCAAATGAGGACTCGAGCCCCACTGAGGTGGGGCAAGACGAGGTGCAGGCCTCTCAAACAGTGGCCCAGCTATCGGTTGCTCTTGGGGGGCTGAGGACTGTTTTCTCCCCCTTGCTTTTTCGAGGGCTCCTGTCCTTCTTCACTTGGTGGATTGCCGCATGCCTGTTCTCCACCTCTCTTTTCGGCCTCTTCTACCACCAGTATCTGATGGCTGCATAGCATCGGGAAGGGTTTGTTCGACTGAACTGTGCAACACGAGGCCCTGAAACATTCCCCTTTTTCTGCAACCATATCAGCCGAGTTCTTCTCTGACGGGCTTCCTCCATGGACACAGCCTAACCAATACATAAACAACAACCATAATAATTCAGTCACTGTTCTTAAGCATCAATGAATGGAGGATGGCATCCAAAGGAGACCTCAAAAAATGCTGATTTTAAAGGGGATGTCATCTTTGAACCACCAGAAGATTGAAAGCAAGGGATCACTCATGGTCTTTGACATACTGCATTTTATTTTTTAGAGTTTAAAATTATGATCGATCAATTGCATAAGAATGATGGTTTTTAATAGTGTTTTAAAGTTGTTTCACTTCTCCAAAGTAGAAACTGGGTTCTGCTTTAGGGGAGTTTTTCATTGCTGATCCGTGAAGATGAAACCGTGTTTTAGTCAGGCTTGGAGAGTGCAGTGAGGGGACTGATCAAGGAGAACAGTATGTGTTAAAGGTATATTTATTTGTTCTTTTCAGAGGGACTGAAGTCAGCCTTCTCACAAGGAGCGTTTCGTTTGACTGTAGAAGACTGAGAGATCATTTAAGTGTGCGTGCGTGTGTGCGAGTGATGGTTTGTGTGTTAACATCAGTGCCTGCAGGCTCTCCATGACCCCTGCTGCTGGTGAGTAAATCTAAAAAGGGCATTTTGATCAAGTATAAAAGCTAACTCAAAAAACTGTCTAAAGCACTGGCCTCCGCTCTTCTGGTACCCTCCCCTGTCATTTAACTGGGCAGATGTTACACTTTGAATTTCGGGTGACATCAAACACATCCTGTAAGCGTGCTCTGTGATTCTGTATAGAGCTTATTGATTTTCTGTAATGCATCAAATAACAGGATTGGATTTGTTTCATGTGAAGGTGCCAAGTATGCTTGTACTCCCCGGTGAGTGTGTACAGTATTTTCTGCTGGAAATCGGAAGCACACATGCTGAGGTACGAGCCAAAGCAGAATATGCGGCTTGATCACAAAGAAACGTCTACATGTTTAATGAGGTCCACTTTAATATTGTGAGATTTTTGGCACTATAGTTACCAAAACTGCACGGAGGCATATCTGAAATAATTGTTTTATTTTTCTTTTTGTTTGATAGTCTTTTTTAGTGTTAACCTACTGTAAAAGTCTTATTCTCACCTTCCATTTTGAGTTTTTGGAAGGTACACAGACAATGAATGTACTGATCCTGTCTGATTTTTCTTTTATTATTGTAGAACAATTCTGCTACCCTTGGGGCCCCTAATAAAAAGCTACATATGACAAAATCGTGGCTTTTAACAAATAACAGTTAAATTAGAAATACAATTTTTCTATATAGTGGGCCTCCAGGGATATTTATATTGCAAAGGAGCGTCCGTTATTATCAAAATCACACTATACAATCAATACTTGTTAACAATGTGGCAGTAAGATGCTTTTTGAGAGCTGTTTTTTTTCCCTGTTGTTGATTATCAAGCTGTGAAGATTGATAGACTCAAAGGGGAGTTTATTTTAGCTGTAAACAATCACAATTTTTGGTAATCATCAGCAGGGCCATTTTAGTCTTACACTCAGCTATAGTTTTTTTTTCCTTTACCTTAATATGATTTTCTCCCCTGTTCCCCAACTATTGAAAATTAAAAACAAGTGACCAAAATTAATCAAAAATTCTATCACTAAAATCTTACTAAGTATAGCCCCTTTTATGATGTTTAGAATATGCATGTCTTTAAACATTTTTAACCCTAATGCCAAATAACAGTATATGAGGCTCAGAACTGAGCCATATTAATTTAAGATATTCAAGACAAATCACTCTTTTCTATTCCAGTAGTGAAGTAGCTTGGATCTCTTTTAAAACCTACGAGCCTATGTATCTGTTGGTTTCTAATGCATTTTAAGTACTTATCTTTATTTATTACTTTTCAGTTTGTTTAATAAATGATTGTCAAGAAAACCTCATGACTTTTTGTCTTACTTGCTATATTTTTGTTCTGTCAGGGTTTCCCCTTTCTCATCTCCCACAGTATTTTGTTGACATATGATAGTTACAGTTTTTTGGGTTGTATTTTTTTTTTTAAATACACAATTTGGCCATGTTACTCCCTCTAAAGCTAGTGTTATCATGAATAAAATGAATTCGCACCGTGAATGGTTCTCATCCATGTGACGCTGGAGTATTGTTGTCCTGAGTGCTATTGTCGATACCGGCCTCCTCTTTTAGTTGGCGCTCTTGGATCAATGAGACAAATTCCAAAACAAACAGCCGAAGAGGCTCTTTTCTTTTTCTAAGAAGACTCCATTCACACAAACCATTTTATCCGAGGCCCACAAAACAGCCCCTTTGAGGGTCGTCGTTCCCAGTGCCCGAACGAGCGAATCTTCTCGAAAGGTATCTTTTTAATGACCGATCCGCTGTCTGCGCTAAATAATGAGAGTTTCATTATTGTGTTAGCTCAGTTAAGAGCAGCAAAATAAATAATGAGAACTTGTAATAATGGGTGACCTAACCTTGTTATTTTTGTCCTGAAATGAATAGAGTTCAGGCAAGGACTCTTGTGGAAGCTAACGAACCTGGGTGCTTTGGTTTTGCACAGAGAACTGTTTTCAAAGACTGCTTGATTTTCCATAATGCAAATACCTTTTATACAGTCTATGGCAAATACACTCTAGAACAGTAGGTTCACATGCCTGCAAGAACATGTTGGTTGCAAAACAAGACATATTTGTGTGATTTACGTAGATGCATTGGTTTACATGTTTTAAGATGAGGGGAATGAGAGCTACCACATGATCTGTCTTTTTCGTTGTTGTTTATATATGATACAGTGTCTGTGGGTGGAAGGTTGTTCTTGTCGTGTCAGTGTAATGCAATTGAGTACACTGCGTAATGAGTAGTGAGCTACAACAGAGCATTTGGACAGAAGTGACTGCCCCCTTGTGAAAGCATCATGTACTGACAAGCTTAACATCAATGAGGGGCTTTATTTTTATCGCATGCGCTGTCACATAAAAGGTTATGCATGACAAATTAATGCAGTTTTAATTTTTGGTTTTTGTTTTAATTGGCTATATCTCATTAAAACATTTTAATTATATCTTGAAGATATTGAGGGAGCACAAAGAAGGAGCTGCTGGACATTAGGAAAAGACAATCTGAGCAATATCATATTTTTAAACCTTTAAATATTGTTAATGTTTAATTAAGATCTTAAGGGTCTGTGTAAAATTGATTTGCATTTCTTACATATTTATAAATGTCAACAAATGCTTTAATAGTATAATTGTATTTTATTGCAATATACAATGAAAACATCAGTCACTTGCATTCAGAAAAATAGGTGTAGATCATAAAATGCAAACATTGTTTGATTTTTTTTTGTACTAAAATAGAATTTTAAAAGAGCCAAACAAGCACATGCATGCATTATTTTCTATGTCCGTTGATTTATTTAAAGAAAATAGATTAAAAAATACCACACACTAACACAGCTTGCAAAAACAAACAGTATTTATTACAATCTTTCAGTCAAGTGACCTCCGTCAGGCGTGTGTCCGCTGATCTGTGATCCTCTTTAGCCCTTAGTTGCCCTTGATGTGTCCCTTGTGCCTCTTGTCTGAACTGTGGCTAGTGGTCAGAGGGCAGCAAAAGGTCAGCAAGCAGTCACCCGAAGCCCCCGTGGGACACCGCCATTTAGATTCCTGCACACCAGCACTATCGCTGAAGATACTCAATGTATGTATGAGTGGAAACGGAGAACAAATACCTGTTAGTGAGTTTCTTTTTTAAAAGTCACTAAAGCTGACAACCTTAATCAGAGAGCCTTGTCCTTTTAAAAATAACGTGAATGAATAAAAACAAAAAGCTGGGCTGAGTAACCAATGCATTTGTGTAAATTTGTTAATTAAATAGGAAAATACTTTATGCTGTTATTATTATTATTATTATTATTATTATTAATAAATTTGCCTCTGGTGGAATAGTGGCTATCATTATTGCCTAAAATGGAAACAGTAATTAGCTAAGGATAGCAAGCATTATTACTGTTACACTAATGCATGACTGTTCATTAAGGAGGATAATAAGAGAGAAACAATGTATAAAGAAACAGAATGTGCTTAGTTGCATGTGTTGTCATTTGTCAATACAATATGTAGGCCTATCTGAGAAGAAAAAAGAAAGAAAGAAAACTTTGCTGCTCAGAGAGAAGTTGCTTCATACATGAGATCTATTTCCACAATCACAGACATGACCACTTTCCTGCCCTGCTCATGTGCGGTGAGGATCCTATACAGAAGTATTTGTCATTGGGGAATTGTTGCCGCTGGAGATAGTTGCCGGGTGCAGTGGCTGGAGGCATGTTCCGTCTAGGCCATAGGAGCTGACTCGCCATAAGTCACCACTGGAGGTGAGAAACTCATATTGTGTCCTCTGTTTGCTGGCCTGAAAGACAGGGGAAATAAGGGTTGGTCTGTATTAGTCTGTAAGTTTGCAAGGGACGTATTTCAAGAGCGGCAAAAAGGTGATGTGCCACTATTGTGTGAATGGCCCCTATACTCACTTTGCTAAAGCCTGCCCATTTGCCAACAGATTGCCTCTGTTACCTAGCAACAATTTAATTAAGATGGTACATGCAAGGTGGGGCTTTCTCTCTAAATGCAGGATTTTAAGTGTCCCAATAAGAATATGCCATATCACATTATTTGTCATAGCTCGAATTCTCTTTGAATGACCTAAATTACTTTTTAATCTTAATAATTACCAGTAAGCCAACCTGGCTTTAAACTCATTAAATGTAGTTATTAAAAGTTATTTAATTCTGATTATTTCTTTTAAAAAATGCTTGTCAAAAACGTATAATTTGTGACAACCATTTTTTAATCCATGGTTATTTTATTCATGTTTATTTTTTTCCCCGTCTTTCATTTAATTGATCCTTTTGTGGTCCCTGCCAAAGATTGTGAATTAGACACATATGTGTTATGTGTAATCATATGGCAAATATTTTTAATTTATAGACTATGTCGGATGTCAAATGAAACAAATCCTGCTACTGCATAAAAAAATTCTTCATCTTATATGAACACAGCTGAAATAATCATAAATTGTTTGCATTACAGGAAAGGGCGCAGAAATTATCTGGACACTACTAAAGCTAATAATATTATTAAGTATTATTTATTAATAAAATACCTATAAAATAAAGCATTAACTCTTTACAATAACATCCTATTAATTAATGCTGAGCAATACATTTAAGAGTATTTATGTAATGTAAGTTACTAAAAATACAATTGTTCATTGTTAGTTCATGCTAGCTCAGATCCATTAAATAATATTAGCAGATACTACTTTTTATTTAAATAATGTATTAGTAAATGTTGAATTTAAGATTAACGAAGATTAATAAATGTTTTAGACATATTTTTCATTGTCAGTTCATATTAGCTAATATAGTTAACTAATGTTATTGAATGGAACCTTATTTTATAGTGTGTTACCAATAAGGCTTAATTTTTAGTCATATTAATGGATAAAAAAATTAACTAACATATAAAGATGTAGTATTGTACAGTCAAATTATCTTGTGACCTTATGTAAAATATAACTGTACATCCAAATTATTCAACAAAGCTTTGCCATAGAGGGTGATGAAGTTGTGCAAGTGGAAATGATTTTAATATGGAAAATAAATTGATTTCATAATTGTAATGTCTTTATATTCAAAATTATTCACAGTGTCAGTTTCAACAAATCAAACAAGAATACGTTTTGCCATCGGCATCTTCCTGTCCTAAAAAGGTGATGAATGAGAATTGTAGATCAAGCTCCAGAAATGACAGAAACTCGTTTTAACCAGCTGCTTTAGATACCTCATCATCTGCCGGAGGTGTGCGATTCATTATTTTTCTGTCAGTTTAGAGTGTAGGAAAATACACAGAGTAGTTTTAAGGATGGCACAAGCAGATGGTACAAGAACTGTGGATAATATCTGTTCTGCAGTACCACTAAACAAATATTTTCATTATTCAACAACTGAAAGCTGAAAGTTAAATCTGGCAAAATCATATTCATGAAATAGCTTGACATATAGTTAGTGTAAGCAATCTGTGTGGATTGCAATCCATTTAACCTGCTTCTAATGTGATATATTTCTCCATTTCTGATTCAATATATTTGACAGAGACGTTTAACAGACTTCAAAACATTCAAAGCATGCAAATCAAAGTACATGACATGGTCTCGGTTAACGTAATGACTTTAGTAGTTCTGCCCAAAATTTGGGTCTTGACATTAACAATGACCAGGCAAGGAAACATTTGTGAAGCCGATGTGTTATATGTGATTGTGGGTTTGTGGGAAAGGGCACGAGCAGTTGCTGGGATCAGTTCACACTGCCGTGTGTCTGCTCCTCCAGACACATTGCCAATCTTACAATGGTGACAATAATGGTGGCCCAACCTGCCCCGCCACTCCAGACAATAGGAAAGGCCCGGGGCCATATGCTGAGCCTCTTGACACGGGTTCGTTTAAAGGATTGTCTGTGGGAAAGCAGGGACCAGGACTACGCCAGACATCAAAGGTCACGGGGTCTTTCAAAAGAGGCGACGTGGTCGAGCTCCTAACATAACTGCTGAAAAGGGCCGAGGTAATTTTTAGTGAACTGGCTTATTTTAAAGGTCCTTGCACACTGAGTCCGAAATGTTCGTATGCGTTTTTCCGTTTTTTCATATTCGTCATCCTTTCCTATCAAAATGCTTGCTACGGATGCGAAAACGCAGAAAATCGAACCTGGTCCGAATTTTTTTATGACGGACGAAAGTTTCGGAGGCAGTGTGTAAACGTGATTGACACAACGTGAGGTCGTATTTATTTTTCAACGTGCGAACATTTCGGACGAAAAATTCGGACTCAGTGTTCAGAGACCTTAAGTCCTTTATTTCCATGCTT